TGCACTCGATTACTTGAGCATGCGTGGCATACACTCCCCTCCCTCTCTCACTGGGCCTGGCATTGGCTTTTGAAACCTCCAAGCCCAGCCCCAGTGATACATCTCCTCCAACAAGGCCACACCTCCTCATCCTTCCTAAATAGTCCACCAACTGGGTACTAAGTATTCATATATATGAACCTTTTGGGGGCATTCTCATTCAAACCACCACAGGTCACCACCTGGCCTCAAACTTGCTGTGTGGCCTCAAACTTCTGATTTTCCTGCCACTGTGCTGCAAGTGCTGGGATCACAGGTGTGTGCCGTCACACCCAGTTTCTGGAGTGCTGGGATCACAGGTGTGTGCCGTCACACCCAGTTTCTGGGTGCTGGGATCACAGGTGTGTGCAGTCACACCCAGTTTCTGGGGTGCTGGGATTGAGCTCAGGCAGGCACTCTTATCAATGTGCCACACCCCTAGGCTTTCCATCTTATTTTAGACATTGGGCCTCTCACTGGTCCTGAGCTTACCCATGAGGCCAGGTTGGCTGGACAGTGAGCCCCAGGGATCCCCTGACTCTGCCTCTCCAGTGTTGGGAATAGAAGCATGCATCACTATGTCTGGCTGTTTATTATTATTATTTTGTTTTAATTATTTTTAAATTCGGTGGTGTGTGTGTGTGTGTGTGTGTGTGTGTGTGTGTGTGTGTGGGGGGTGAGACTGGGTTTCTCTGAGCCTGGAGCTCACTGGCTCAGCTAGGCTTACTGGGGCTGCTAACGTGTGCCACCACACCTGGCTTTTGATGAGTGTTGGGATTCTAACTCAGACCTTCAAGCTTGTGAAGCAAGCACACTGTCTAGTGATCTAACTGGCCAAACCCCCACATGGCTGGTTTTTTTATGTTGGTTCTGGGGAGCAAACTCAGGTCCTCACGATAGCAAGGTAAATGCTTAACTCACTGAGCCATGGCAATCTCCCCAGCCTCCTCCTCATTTATTTTCAAATAAATAAGGTAACCTACTCCTTTAATCCCAGCACTCAGGAGGCAGAGGCAGGCAGATCTCTGTGAGTTAGAGGCCAGCATGTTCTACAAGGATAAATTGTATTTTTATTTATTTGGTGTGTGTGTGTGTGTGTGTGTGTGTGTGTGTGTGATGTATAGAGGTCAGGACAACTTTCAGAAGTCGATGCTATCTTTCCATCATATGGGGATTGAACTCAGGTCATCAGGGTTGGCAGCAGGTACCCTTACCTGCTAGACCATCCTGCCAATCCCCTCTTCTCCTTGTTAAGTGGCACTGGTAATCACCTGCTTGCTCAGATCTGAAGCCTGGCATCCTCTGGCTCCTCCAAGTTCCTGCCTGTACCCCATGTCCAGTTCCTCACAATGCTAACATTTTGTTAACTGCTGGACCTTGTCACATGGAAGATTAGCAACAGGCAAGATCCCACAGTCTGTCCTTGATTTGGACAGCTAAGCGCACCCCTGAGGTGCTCTGCAGAGTGTCTTTCTCCTGGGTTAGTTTGTTGGTTTTCTAATGGTGGAGCTGGGTTCTGGGTTTTGAGGGGAAGAGTTCAGAGGCCAAGAGTGGTCGTCATTACCACAGGAGACATGTCACTGGGTGTTGACCTTGATCAACTGCTGAGGGATGTTAGGATGTTAGGGTTCTCCACTGCACAGTGACTCTTCATACCCCTGTCTGTGCTGTCTTTCATTGCGGTAGTTACTCTGTGGCAGTGAGCGCTCTACTGATCTGTGTGATCTGATCCTATGTGCTCCCACACCTCCCAAGACAGGGTTTCTCTGTGTAGCCCAGGCTGTTCTGGAACTCACTCTGTAGACCAGGCTAGCCTCAGACTCAGAGCTCCAATTGCCTGGAATTAAAGGCATGCACCTCCACCGCCTTGCTCCACAGTTTATCTCTCCTGAAGCAGTTGCTCCAGTCTAAGCAGTCATCACCTCTGAGAGCCTCATCTACCTTCCTCTCAGCCCCTGAGTTTGTTCTCCACTTGATAGCAAGTGAGTCTTTTTATAAAAGATGTGTTTTATTTTTTATTTTTTATGTTATCTGTGTGTGTCTGCACATATGAGTGGGTATCCATGGTGGCACTGGATCCCTTGAAGCTGGAGCTATAGGTGGTTCTGGGAACTGACTCAACCAGAGCTGTCTCCATAGTTTCCCTCTTTTTATTTTTATTTATTTTAAAATAAATAAATGTAAGAGCAATGGACAATCCCCTGAGCTGTCTGTCTCTCCATTCCTGAAAATGGGTTCTTAATAGGCCTGCCAGTGCCACCTCCTGCTCACTCCTGGCTTGCCTGCAGACAGCACAGGGCTTGCTGCTATGTCCAGTCAGCTATTTGGCCCTCACACTGGCTCTTTATAGTATGGGTCACTGCGAGGCATTGTGCTCCATGAGTGTTATCTTGTTTGTGGCATGGCTCCCAGGGTAGAGTGGAACTTCCTTGGGACAGTCACTTGTGTTCTCTGCAACACTCTCAGTCCTGGCACAGTCCCTGACACAGACTGTGTGCTCAACAAATGCTTGCCATAGGGGTGCCTGAACTCTGTGGGTGGATGAGCGCATGGTGCTTTGTTTGGGGCCAGCATGCTGTAGAGGCTGTGCTATCTTTGCTTCTGGTTTTGTGAGGTTTGAAAGAACTTTGTTTTCAGTTAGACTCATAATTCAGGCCACATGAAATACCAGACTAAAAGCTTTGAAAAGCCATTTACAGGCATTCTGAAACCCTCAGTGGTGTTGTAGAAATGATTGGCCATTCAGAGAACTGCAGTTAGTCACAAAGGTGCAACCCAGCCAGGCTCCAGGGCTGCAGGAATTTCCCATGCATGGGGCCCACCGGCGTCCCCTGTCGAACTGATGTATTACCATTGCCAGGGCTGCTGTGTACAGGAGAGATTTGGGCTTTATCAGGGTGACCATGTCCTTCCTGAAGCCATTGTCCTACTGAGGCTCAGCTGTTTCTGTCTGTCATCAAGGCCATTGGCGATGGTCTCTTGACCAGCTGGAAATACTTCTTCCCCACTGCTGAGCTTCTGAGTTAGTAGCTACTGCTGTCATGGGGGAGCAGTAAGCCTCCAGGAGAGGGCCTGTCCTGGTTAGTTTTTTGTCAACTTGACACAGCTAGAGTTAGCTGGGAAGAGGAAACTCAATTGAGAAAATGCCTCTATGAGGTGGCCTGTAGGCAAGTCTACAGCATTTCCTTGATTATTGGTTGATGCTGGAGGGTCCAGCTTATTGATTTGGGTCCCACCTCTGGGTGCTATAACAAAACAGGATGAGCAAGCTATGGGCAGCAAACCTGTAAGCAGCCTTCCTCATGGCCTTTGCTTTATAGTTATTGCCCTGACTTCCCTCAGCAATAGAGCATGACCTGAGAGTTACAAGCTGGAATAAACCCTTTCCCCTCCTGTTGCTATTGGTCATGGTGCTTTATGTAGCAAGAGAAACCCTAACAAAGACAGGGGTGCTGGGCTGCTTCAGAATGGATTAAGTGGGTTAGGGGTAGACCTGGATATGACACAGTTCCAGGTGCCAGTGCTGGCTCAGCCACTCTGCAGCTTTGTGACCCTGGACAAGTCCTTGACTCTGACCTTCAGAACTCTGAACCCTAAGCAGATAGGAGGTGCTGTCTCCCTCGTGCTGGGCAGTAAGGTCAGTGCAGTGTGGTTGAGAGATGCTCAGGACTCTTTAAACACAGCTTCCTGATCCCACCCCAAGCTAGTGGAGGCTTCAGAGGCGCTGCCGTCCTGGTCTTCATTCTAGAGCAGAACCACATCACCATGGCTTGTTCATTGTGGGCTTTGGCAAGTGTCTCAGTAAATATCAGACTGCACATGGTGTTCAGAAGTCTTGAGAACACCCACGAGGAGAAATATCAGGTTGGGGATTTCTTGGCACACACACAGGTGTAAGATAAATGAGCCCAAATGTGACATTCAAGTCAGTTCTTTGTGCAGCCTGACTTGAAAACTTGCCATGTGTCTTCAGGCAGGCGGTGCCTGGTAGTTCCAGGAAGCCGGCAGCAGTGTGGCTTAGCAGGCTAACTGGGGGGTCTTGATGCTTGTCCAGCTTTTATTTCTGTAAAATGGGCATGGCAGCCACTACATGCAGCGAATGCTGGTAGGTGGGTGCCCTTAGTTCTGGGTTTGAGGGGAGGAAGTGCCTGGATTCTCATGTAATGTAGAGGAGGGACTGGTATTTTTGTAAAATGTGAGCAAGGATATTTACGTAGGAAATAGCAGAGACTAGGCCATCTCCCAAAGCTCTGTGTGTTCTCAGAACAGCAGAAGTGGATGGGAGCCACAGGCTAAGAACATTCCCTGGGACAGTAGCTGTGGGGTTCCCGAGCCAGCACAGCTGGGTGAGAACAGTGACAATAGTGAAGGTGTGCGGAGCTCCCCTGAAAAGACCTCATCTGGGTTCCAAGGAAACCGGGTCATGGTAACGTGAAACTGACAAAATAGTGACAAAAAAGAAGGAAAGGGGGGTTTATTTTGGCTTACGGTTTGAGGGCACAGCCCATCATGGCAGAAAAATCTTTGAAGCAGGACCAGGAGGACCTGGTCACATTACATCTATAGTCAGGAAGCAGCAAGAAATTCTGGTGTAGGTGGAAGTTCTTGTCCTGCAAGCCTCTCCCAAGTAACCACACAGAGTTTTAATATTAATTATAAATGCCCAGCCAATAGCTCAGGCTTATTACTAGCTAACTCTTTTTTTTCTCCATTTTTTAAAATTTGAATTAGAAACAAGATTGTTTTACATGTCAATCCCAGTTCCCTCTCCCTCTCCTCCTCCCCTGCCCCCCTCCCCATCTAACACCCTACCTATCCCATAACCTTTCTGATCCCTGGGGAGGGTGAGGCCTTCAATAGGGGGCTCTTCAGAGTCTATCATAGCCTTTGGGATAGGGCCTAGGCCCACCCCGGTGTGTCTACTAGCTAACTCTTATATTTAAATTAACCCATATTTCTTATCTATGCTTTGCCATGTGGCTTGGCACCTTTTCTCATTATGGCATGCCCACCTTGCTTCTTTCAGTCTGCTCTCGACTCTAGACTCCACCTTTCTTCCCAACATTCTCAGTTTGGCTCTCCTGCCTAACCTTAACTTGTCTAACTATTGGCTAGTCAGCTTCTTTATTAAAACCACTCACAACAACATATATTGACACAGTGTACAGGAATATGCTGCATGCTGGTGCCCAGTTCTCTCTCTCTGTTCACCACATGGAGTGGTGCTGCCCATACTTAGGATCTTTGCCCCTCCATTAAACCCAATCTAGAAGCTTCTCAGACATGCTTAGAGTTTGTCTCCATGTTGATACCAGGTCCTATAAGGTTGACAGTTAGAGTTGACCATTTCAGAGCTCTACATGAGGGTTCAAGGGGTTGAGGTCTAACCTTAGCCTGGACAAATAGGGACCAGGACAGAATGGAGAAACAGAGGACCAAGTTGTGGTCTGTTCCTATTGGTGTCACTTTGTCACCAAAGTGTGACAACTCTGAAATGGATCTGTGCCCATCCTGAACTCACCGCCCTCTTTCCTTTCCTTTTAAAGACAGGACTCAGGTAGCCCAGGCTAGTCTTGGACCCAGTATGTGCTTGAGAATAACCTTGAACTCCTGATCCTCCTGCCTCAGTTTCCTAAACGCTTTGATCCCAGAAGTGCATCCCGAATGCCTGTCCTCTTCTTTCATGTTTAGCTTAGCCATGTGTCCTCTCTTCTCTTAGTATCCTGTGGAGATCAGGAAGTATGAGTATGACCCAAACTTCGCCATCCGTGGACTCCATTATGATGTCCAGCGGGTGAGTCTGAGCTCCTATTTTTCTGTAGTTTTGTGGTGGTGGACATAAAGTGCTGCTAATAGAACTGCTGGCACTTCCCTTGGCAAGTGGTTCTGGATGAAGTTCTGTGGGGCTGCAGAACCAAATTATCCAAATCCATTTGGTAGATAGAGCCTTAGAGAGGCGTGCATCCCAGGCGTTGTTTGTAAGTGGCTAACCCTGGTAGTCATGTTGAAGGGGGAGCCAGCTGCCATGGTTTCTTTCCCTTTCGTTTGCTCACATGGCATTTAAAAGGCTCCTCAGGTAAGAAGCGCAGCTTTTGGAAACAGTCATGCAGTGTTTCTTAACCTGTGGGCCGTGACTCCTTTGGGGTTGAATGACCCTCTCACAGGGGTTGCCTAAGACCATGAGAAAACACAGATATTTATATTATAATTCATAACAATAGCAAAATTACAGTTATGAAGTAGCAACGAAAATAAATTTATGGTTGGGGGTCACCACAACAGGAGGAACTGTATTAATGGGTCATAGCATTAGGAAGGTTGAGAACCACTGTGTTAGGGGAATGTCGTATTGACAGGATTTATAACAACCCTTGGATTGTTTGTTTTTTATGCAATCGTTGTTCACATGTTTATGTTTTTAAAGGCAGTGTTGATGAAGATCGATGCTTTTCATTACATCCAGATGGGAACTGTCTACAGGTAAGAGTTAAATGGCATCTCCCTCACAGGTGTAGCCCGGGAGCTTTGCATTTCAGGTCCTGATAACTGACCAGGGATGAGGGAAGTAGATGTGTATAGATCACCATTCTTTCGCTCACACTCACTTGTTCAGGAATACACGAGAGGCCTGGTGCATGCTAGTGCTGAGGGCTTGGCTCACTCATTCACTTGTTCAGGAATATACGCCGAGGCCTGGTGCATGCTAATACTGCTGGTTTTGCTGTAGGAATGCCTTCAGGATCTCAAGGATGGGTGAGAAGCCACACAGGTGTGCACCTGCAGCCCAGAGTGGCAGATGGTGGAGGGCATGTATGCCCTCAAGTTGTGGGGAGCCATTGGGAGGAGGTTGGTTGGGACACTGAGGAAGTGTCCTGGGAGGAGACTGAGAGGGGTGAGGCTGCTGGAGCATCTCATTCTCTCTGTGAGGATTAGGGAGTCAGATATTGACTCTTTTTCTTCTTTATCAGAGCTCATAGAAATCTCTGACTTAAAATGAAGGGTTTTGTATGTTGACATTCTGTACTGGGGAGGGTTTCAGGGTGTGGTCGGTGTGTTCGTAGTTTGTGTTTTATACTTTAAAAGGCATGGGTGCTGTAGTTTAGATGTTCTCTCATAAACTCTGTGGTAATTTTCTTTCTATCAGAGTAAAGCAAGTTTATAGGTAGACTTGAACAACAGTGAAGGTTCAGGGTCAGCAGCCCTGTTCCCCACCTCCCCACCCCAGCACTGTGGACTCTTCACAATTGCATTGTTCTTCAGTGTGTATATGTATACACCCATGCACTCATAATTCCTAGACAGTGTGGTCATGTTCTTGATTTGTTAGGTATTGACATTGCCCCTGCTGTGGCAGTTGAGGGTTTAGCTTTCAGGCCCTCAGCCCCTGTCTGCTCCAGTCATGGTCTCCTGCCCTCATGAGGCCTCAGCACGTTCTTACAGTAGTCATCCTTGTGACTCTGTAGGCTTCACTCTGTGGACTCATAGGCACAGGTGTGCACCTCGATTTCCTTCCTTGTACAGTGTTTGCTTTCTTCCTTAAACTTAGTAACTTCGTTTTTATTTGCTCCTTTTTTGGCCCAGGTGTCTCTGCTTTTTCAAAATGTCACGTGTCAAACATGGTTATTTTCTAATAATTTAAAAGCTTTGTCTTTTTTAAAAAAATGGACTCTGCCCTCTTGTTCTGGTCCAGTGTGGCTGATTGTCTCGGGACAGACTTTGTCTGGGGACAGTCTTTGTCAAGGGACAGCTGTGGAGTTGATTCCGGGGATCAGACCCAGATTAACTGTCACAGAGTGAGGGTTATCAGTGTTCTGAAAGCCCTCACCGGATCTTTTCTTTTGTCCCCACCTCTCCATCTCCTTCCTGGCCTCACGGGCGCCTGTCCCTTCTCTCTTGGCCCTTGCAAGCATTGCACAGTGCAGTTCATCCTGCATCAGCATCACTGTCAGCAGCCCCATCCCAGACCCTGACCGCTTCCTGCCGTTTGTAGAATGAAGCTGAAGCCTGAGGCACAGGGTTTTTATTCAGCCTGCTTTCAACTCTTGGTTGCTCCTACACAAGTTTTTAACTGACTGGATTTGTTAAGACTCTTAGTTACAAGTAACTGAAACTAACACAAATGCATTGCTTTGTTCTCAAGCAGCAGCTGCAGCGTGCATCTCCTGCTGCAGGTCTGGAGAATAGGAGCTTCCTGTCATTCACATGGCTGGATTCTGTGCCTGATCCTGAAGTCACTTGATGGAGTGGGCAGTTAGGTGATAGCGACTGCAGGTCTCTGCTCTGCATTCCCTGGGACTGCCTGGCCTGTCTCATGCTCCTTTCCCTGCTCTGTGGCTTCTGGGAACCCCCTATGTCTGCCCCCATCTGTGGCCCACTGTAGTCTATCCTGTTTCATACTCCTGGTCTGCAGTGGCCCTGCTCTTTCCTTGCTCCATACCAGGTCCTTCCCATCCCACCTGACCCCTACTCACCCATGCCTGTTTTCCCTTTTGTTTCTGTGTTAAGGCCAGGCTTAGGGCTCAGCAGGAGGAGCCAGATGAGGTGTTTAAGAAGGGACATTCAGGTGTAAGTCTGGCTGGCAGTCTCTCTGTTGCCAGAGCAGAGTGAGTCTCCAGGTGCAGGGCCTGTCTTGGGGGTCATACTGACTTCCCTATGTGAACCCCAGCTTTGTTGTCTCCACATGACAGGTCTCAGCAAAGCCTTGGTTTCTATAAAATGGCCAGCTCCAGAGCCTGCTCTGTGCAGCTGGCTGTGAAGTGGAGGTGTGCTTGGAATGCAGCAGGATAGGAGGCAAAAGTGCCATTTCTTAGCATGAGGTGGGAATGAATGTGGGGAGGGAGGGGGACGGCAGTGGTTCCAGTCTTGCTCAGTTCTGAGATCTGCTGTAGGTTACACTCTGTGGCTTGTGTTTCAGCCACAGCAGGGGCTTCTGAAGAACAAGGCCAGGCCTTGGGCTGGTGTGTGTGTGTGTGTGTGTGTGTGTGTGTGTGTGTGTGTGAGAGAGAGAGAGAGAGAGAGAGACAGAGAGAGAGAGAGAGAGAGAGAGAGACAGAGAGAGAGACAGAGAGACACAGAGAGACACAGAGAGACACAGACACAGACAGAGACAGAGACAGACAGACAGAGAGAGAGAGAGAGAGAGAGAGACTGACTCTCACCTCATCGGATGCCCTCATGATTTTTCTTTTTGCTTGTTTTCTTTCCTCCTATGGTTCTGTAGATGGCTGTTTTGCAAGAGCTGTTCTCCAAGGTCAGTCTAGAACCATCTGGTTTGTTACCAGATCTTATCTATTGCTAGAGCACAGTATTCTTTTGTTCTCGAAGGCTAGGTGTTGTAACAGGTCAGTCAGTGAAAATGTCTGGAATGCACTTGGTGAGTTTAACCCTAGTATGGGGAGTGGAGACTGGAAGACATCACACATCAAAGCACAAACTACATCTGTGAGCATCTTAATACCAGGCTGCTTTGTACCTCATCAGCCTGTTGGAACTTCCTCTGGTTGACATGGAAGTCAGAGAGACCCTCTGCAGTTTCCTAATTTTGGTTCTGTTTCTCAAGTGCTCACCCTTGAAGGGTGGAAGAGCAGCCTTCTGGGATGGGCAGCTCCAGGTGAGCATGTGACACCTGCTCAGTTTGCTGGTGGCAAAGGCCAGAATTACCTTTCCCCTAGATATTCGGGAACTGGACTAGTTTGCACGTTCCAGGGCAAGCAGATAGTAGGTGTGCACAGGTGGGAGCTGGCTCTGTGTCACATAGCACTCCGCTCACTGAGTTTCCTGCCGCAGGGCATGAGTTTACTCCTTTTAGCCTCTTGCATGACTTTTTCCCCCCTCAGCACTCAATGTAGGGGACAGTAACAAAGGAGGAAGAATGAGTGAGACACAGAAACAACCTTACTCTGCTCAAAAGTGTGAAACTCTCCACCCAAGGCAAGTCCTTGGGAAGCCTTGCATCACAGTGGGTTGAAAGCTGTGGAGACCCTGGATTAACCCTGGTGCAATGCTTTCTACTTTTCCTAACTGTGAAGAAAGCATGTGACCTACCATTCCTGTGGGAAGAAGAGTAACTCCTAGTACAGGTGACAAGTAACTGGATTCCCAGGTGACATCCTCCTTGGCACACTGGAGATGTCATGTAGGATTAGTTTTTGCTGTAAACCTGGTTCTTGTTTCCGACAGAGACCTAGCAGTAACACCCTGCCTGCTGGCTATAGCGGCTGCTGTGTCCTATTTTGCCTCCCACAGGTCTCCTGCTGTAGTGGAAAAACCATCAGTAGAAAGAAGTCAGAGGTTACTCTATAGCTGAGTAGCATGACGACACCATCTATATTCTTTCCAGAGGCCTCAGTGTTGTCCCTGATGAAGAAGTCATCGACATGTATGAGGGATCCCACGTGCCCTTGGAGCAGATGAGTGACTTTTATGGAAAGGTAAGGAGAAGCCACTGGATCATAAGAAGAAGCCGGCTTTCTCCGTTGATTGGCATTTTTGCACTGGGGAAAACATCTGAGAGAGGAAGGACTTAGCTTGGCTTCTGGTTTCAGAGATCATGACTCTGATTCTTCCGGGTCTGTGATGAGGCAGAGCATCATTTAGAAGGCTGGGACTGGGGAAAGGGGGAAGCAGAGAGGGAGAAAGATTAAGATTTAGGGGCTGAGATACACCTGCTTCCTAGAGTTGGGCCCTACTTCTTTTTTTTTTTTTAAATTTATTTATTAGTTCAAGTTAGGGAACAAGCTTATTTCACATGTAAGTCCCTTCTCCCTCTCCCTCCCCTCACACCCATACCTCCTCCCTCATCCCCAACCTGTCCCCCACCCCATCCACCCACCACTCCTCAGGCAGGGTAGGGCCCTCAAC